CCACCCTGCACACGGCCCATCTTGTCTGACATTAACTAGACATAGCTGTTTCCCTCATGACATGGCTGAACACATCAACACCTAAGGTAGTGGAGAAAGTGACACCATAGTTTAGATTAAATATTTTCTCTAATCCGGGAAACAGTTTTACTTATTTCATTAAACACAGATCAGTTCTGTAAGTAAAGAATTGGGTACTCATTTGCATTTCCTTATACAGAGAACACAATTTGAAATCATGAAGGGAGACCAAAGACATCTCTCTGAGGCAGAAAGTAGAACTCAGGTGAAACCCAGAGGTGAGAGCACCATAGAGTTGAAAATTGTCCCACTGGGAATGATTTGTTACATTTTTAGTTTTAAATCAAAACCTTGTCTAATTCATGATTTTTTTAAAATGTGGACCAATGAGGTTCTGAGAAATGTTGAGGATTTGAGAAATCAAAGGGACTTGGTACCAAAGGGAATCAATGGAAGAAAATGTATCCCTGGATGTCATTTCTTGTGAAAGCTATTTTACCAGGGGACAGTGGGTATTCTAGGAGCTACAGAAGTGACCCTGAAATATGAGCCTTAGATTCCTATCAGTTTCTAGGTGGAGGTCAGCATGGTCATTCCAGCAGCCCTTTGTATATCTGCCAGTTCTTCCCAGGGGCTTTCTTCTTTCTTCTCCTTTTTGAGTGCTCAAGCTCAAACCCAGAGCCCTGTGCAACAAAGCATGTGTCTTAGTGCCAAGCCACATCCCCAAGTATTGCTTACTGCCAGGTGGGATTACAGCAGCTCATTTGAAGCCATTTGCACTGGATAGCCATTGCCTGCTGACCAGTCACTGGGCTGTAATGACTGTCAGCCTGGCCAAGCAAGTCCATTGTTGACTGAGTTTGATTGTGGGGTCACCTGGTGCCATGAGTTTTCTGGCTGTTGTCCTTGCCTCTGTCACTCCTCAGTTAAGGTGCCTCCTTGCTAATGAAGTAGGGTCAGTGTTGTTGCTATTTAACAGTGTCTCACTTTCACTTGAGGATTTGCCCAGGAGGCAGAAGCTGTTGACATTGCCTCAGATGAAACACTGAGGATAGCAAATTGCCATGAACCAAAAACGCCAGAGGGAAGTAGAAGTGTGCCAAATAAGAGGGAGGGGTGCCTGCCACTCTCCCTGTTCAGAAATAGGCCACTTCACTCTCCTCAGACACCAGTCAGTGGGAGCCAAGGACCCCAAGGCCTACTTCTCCATGTCCCAAACTCAGAGAAAGTGGGTCACATTGTGGAGAGCCCTTTCTATCTTGACACGCACGCACGCAGTGTGGTATCACTTAGCTGGATCTTTATCTCAAGTGCTAACTGATGTTGTTAACTTTCTGCCCTGATGCCAGGAAATAGTAATGAGGAAATCACACTCTGTTCATCTTGTACTTGGAAGTTATATTTAGAGAATCGTGTTCTTGAGCCAAAGCGCACTAAATAACCCTAAACTACTCAGTGCACTTGAAGAGATGAGGCCTTGAAATGTCTCCTTGGAACCTTGCACAGTGCCTATTGACTGTAATCCTAACACTTGGGAAGTAGAGGCAGGAGGGTCAGGAGTTCAAGGCCAGCCTCTGCTGCATAGTAAGTTGGAGACTAGGCTTGGCTTCACGAGACTTTCTAAAAATTACAAAGGGGGGGAGGGTAATCCTAGTGCCTTGTAGAAATTGACATAAAACTAAAAAGTAGACTTCAGGGCTTTCTTAGCTGTTCATTAAAAGGATTGAGCCTAAAGTATTATCTTCCTCCAAAATTAGGTAGCTGTTCCTATTCATAGACACTTCAGTGGAATTAAGGTCTAATCCCTTACTGTCTTGTAACTTTTCAGTTCTAGCAAAATTACAATGTAAACTTAGTGCAGGTGTATGGAGATATGTAAGGGCATATAATTAAATAGATATAAACATCTAAGCACTTCCTATCTACTTAATGCCTTCCTAGATACCCTATGTAAGTATGGATGAGTTATCTGCCTTTAGTATATATAATTTCTTGTTTTAAAGACACTGGCTGATAATTCAGCCAGGCACAGGATCCCAAGAGGATCATGTGAGCTAATTCATGCAGTGTACGCTCATCCTGGAACAGTGCTTGGGAACATTAGTCATCACTGTTATTTCCATGATACATTTTTAAATTTTCATTTATTTCCCTAGTTTATAACTATTGTTTTAGTGTGTTTTTTCTGTTGCTGTGATAAACACTGGGACCAAGAGCAACTTAGAGGGAAGACACATTTATTTCAGATCACACTCTTGGGTCATAATCCAAGATTGAGGGCAGTCAGGGCAGGAACTAAAGCAGGAACCAGTAAGGAACTCTGCTTGCTGGCTCACTGTGGACCTTCTGTTCAGCTGTCTTTATTATACAGCCTAGAACTCCAGCCTAGGAATGGCACTTCCCACAATGGACTGGGCCTCCTACATCAATTATCAGTCAAGAATATGCCCCATAGATATGATTACAGGCCTCTCTGATCAAGGCAATCACCCAGCTGAGACTCCCTCAGAAGATAACTTTGGCAGCCAAAGCTGACTAAAACTACCCAACTACGCTTGGTTTCACCTTTCTTTGCTAATAAGTGGAAGTCTAATAATGCTTTTTCTTTTTCCCTGGATTTTTTTTAACCTTGGCAAAAGATATGAGAAATCTCTGAGCACACTAAGTAAGAGCAACGGGTAAGTCAGTGAAGAGCTGAAAACATAATGGTGGGAACATACTAAGAAAGAAATACTTCCAGTTAGTACAGGCCTTGGGTAACAAAAGTCACTGGTGTGTTTTTAATTGTAATGCAAAATAAACCTTTCCTTAGATGACACTTCTACCAACTGTAATGTTTTCACACCCATTCCCTAGCCCAATTGGAAAACACACACACACACACACACACACACACACACACACACACACCAACAACGTCAAAGAGCTCTGAAAAACCAATGAGTTCCATCTCCAGTGGGACAGCAGGATGTATAAAGCATTCAACTCATTGCATCTTTTCCTCATGTTCAAACTGCTATAATGCTCAGCAAGATCACCTACCTTCATCTCATCATTTATGCATTCAGCAAAACTAGGCTTTTCTCCCTTTGTGGTACACAAGTAATGGGGACATTGAAGTGATGTTTCCCAGCTCCAGTTCCACGGAAACAAGTATGCTGAATAGCTAAAGATAGTGAAGTTATGTGTGCTGTTTGAGTTGGAACAAACAAGCCAGGAAGTTAGGGAAACATTACAGTACACACACACACACACACACACACACACACACACTCACACACACACACACACCACAGCTTGAGATGGCTTAGGCAAATATGGCATTTTAGAAGAACACTCTATATTGAGTAATGACCAGGAAACTTGATTGGTTCCATTTACACAAAAAAGTACAGGACCAATAATGACTGTTTCCAGGAACTCAGGCTATTACTATAATCAGAGCATTTTTGTTCTCTCAATATTCCTCACTCATAATTTTACTCCACAAGAAACCCATATTCTCCATGCTTCCTTGTTTATTGTCCTTTTCTCATACTTAGTCAATAAATATAATAAATACCTATTATAGGAATCCTCCTCACTTGAAGTCTGTAGCATTTGCTGGAGAATTTTATCTCTGTGATACCCTGCTCCCCAAGGCAGTACACTCCACTCTCATTGGCCTCCCAATGTAGATATTCTACCAAGTGGCCATTGTGACCCTCCCCGCTTTCCAGCCATACCCTCACCAATGCTTTCCCTAAGTCAAAATTCTCCCACTGAAAGTGCACTTTCCTCTACCAATTTATGTGTAACTCTTCCTTCAAATCTTTGGTCAAAAGCTGCCAACTTTTGGAAGTCACGATCAAGGCTACTCCTCTCTGCTCCCCTTTGGTTTTGTTCTGCATCCCCCATAACACACTTTGCTGTGTTCCTCATGAATGGATATGCATTGCATCTATTATCTCATAGACCTATGAAGCTTTGCTCACCTTGACCACCTTTAGACACACACAGATTCTAATGAAAACTGTTGTAGGAAAAATTATTAGGTTAAAAATCCTCTAATAAAGCCCCATCTTGTATATATAAAATTTCTCATGTATGTCACTTTATAGCTGTCATTATACCTGCTATGTCTTGTTTTATTTTTACTATTATATGCATGTTTTTATCTTTCAGTCTTTCCAGAATTAAATTCAAATGAATTTAGTTTTTATTTCTCAGTATGTACGGTAAACAAGATGCCAAAAGACCTTGTTTAGATGGAAGGCAACTTTCCGAATGTCGGTAAAGTAACTAAGTGTCTTCTAGGTTTATTGTAATTTGGTGTTGTCTCTTGTCTCACTTTCTCCTTCCTTTGATCTGCTATTGAAGTCACAGTGCTACGTATGTTTTATGTACAAGAGCTTTGATGTGAGAGTCACATCTGAGATCAAGGATTGTCCTTAGCTCCCTTGTGGCATGAGCTATAATTGGAACTGGAACCATCCAAGATGGCATACTAAGTGCATTCAGATATCTCCAAAATGTAGTGCCATCTTCATTCAGCAGCATCTATTTACATGCTGCTTTGTCACTCTAGTGGATCTCAGAGCAGAGACCACGGGAAACTAGGCACAGAGCAGACAGACTTTCAACTCGTGACCGGTGATTGCGGAAGTCCATCTCTACAAGTGTGAATAGGATACTTGCTGCAAATGCTACCAGCAAAATCTTGAGAAAGCAGGCTCCCTGGCATGAGCCAAAGTGGGAGGGCACTGCTAACCAATCTCATGTCCTGGTCCTAAGGTTCACTCATGTAACTTCTAGGTCATTATGGAGCAAGGTTTGCTATGTTGAAAACCTCTTAGTTTTATAAATGCCAGAAATGTAGTCAAGCTCTGACTTGTAAATGTCTGTGGTGCCTATGATTGATTGTAATTTTTTCCTGCATGCTCATCCATCTTGGTGTTTGTAAGTAGCAACAAATGAGCCTGATTTGTTCTCCTTTGTAGAGCCAGGCCGAGGCCCACTACAAAGGAAGTAAACATGCCAAGAAGGTCAAAGCACTAGAGGCAACGAAAAATAAACCCAAAATGGTTTCTTCCAAGGACAGCGCAAAGGCTAATCCCAGCTGCTCCATCAGGCCAATCACAGGCGACAGCTCTGACAAATCAGGTCAATGACACTTTTTGTTCTTTGGCATTGTTGTGTTCCTCCTACCCCACCCACCTTCCCCAACCCCATTTTCCTCCCCCTTGGATGTTGCATGTTACTCTCCATGATTTATTTTGTAATATGATGTTTGCTTCACAAGAAGGAATATGTGTTAGCACAGAATGTAAACATTTGATATGTTGCCATTCCATGTTGTGAAATATATGCATTTAAATATGTGTGTATATAAGTATATATTGGCCACATGTTCAGACAAGCATCAAGTAATGGATATAAAACAGTGGTATTCCCTCTTTCCATTCCTTTTGTGTTTGGTTTGTGTTGCAGGCTTTTTTGGAAAGAGATTCTTAAGCTTGTTAATAATAGTTTTTTTTTTATCTTATAATCTCAGTGAAGAGTTGGGGGTGACATTATCAGAGAGAATGACATTAGTGGGTATGAAAATGTGCTTAGAAGTAACAGATTCTGACTTCCTAACACCTTTGTGAAGCTCTTCTCTGAATTACAAATTGACCCAAATAATTTAAAGGAATTATTTACAACGCTGTGAATTGCTTAACAGAAAGTCTTAATATACAATTAGAAATGTGCTGTTGATGGAAAAGCCTCATAAGAAAATTCTTTAATCCGAACCTGTATTATCTGAGTAAGTCATTTCAGTGCAAAACAAAATTCTCTCTCTCCTTTTCAGTGTGGGTACCATGAAATTGGATGTTGATAGGCTCCCCTCTCACAGCTGCCCTTGGGACCCATAATGGATTTGTCATCCTGTTTTAGTGGCTGGCTGAGGAACAGTGTCTGTTAAAGGACACTGGGAGGACGTGTCCCTTTCTTTATGTTTGATTCTGGCATTCAAGACTTCTATGTTGTGGGAAATGCACACTTCAGGTTCTCTCCTGATCATCAAAACCCCTGTAGCACTTGAGGAGGAAGCTGAAGAACGCTTACCCATGACTGCCCAGGGCCATTGGAGACCAGCAAATCCATCACTGTAAAAGGAGAGTTCAGAAAGCCTCTTCTAATAAGAAAACTATGTACAAAGGAGACATTACTGCTTAAGTCCCGTAGTTGCTGGCTCCAAAAGCATGGACTTAAGCCTAGAATTAAACAACCAAATTTGGTGTTAATAACAATGATTCTTTGTGCTTTATATGATAAGGGTCACCAAATTATCTTATCAGAGAAACATGGTAAACACTGGATTGTTACATAGCACTTCTAACCTTATAAAGGACAAAACCCCTCTGTAGACAAATATAAAACCTAATATTTAAGCTGTGTCTAAGGCAGTTATTAACATAGACACCAAACTCTATCTCCATGAGTGCAATTTCACAGCCAGCATCACAGCTTGTGGTGAGGCCTACATGAAGACAGTTATCTGCTAGGGTTTGCCCTGTGTTTGGAAGAGCAGAGTCCATCATCCCCTGACTTCCTGCCAGCTTTCATTTCCCACAGAATATTGTTGCCTTTATGAAGCAATACCCTGCCAAAGGTCTTATTACCTGAACTGTGGTCTTTACCTCCAGCAGAACTTACAAGTAAAATGATAAAATAACGGAGGTTAGTGTCACCCCGTTCCTTCAGTTTATTTTGTGGCTTGAGCTAATCAAAGAGTCAGTGGGCTCTATAAATACTCCAGCGTCGCAATCAAATGTGCTCAGTGTTTCGCTGAAACCCTGTCAGCATTTGAGAATTGTGTTTGCTCTAAGGACAGTAGTAAAAGGTATGAGTGGAAAGCAAAGTAGAAAGAGTCAAAGCATAGAGGGCATAGAATCAAGGACACAGCAATGTGGACGTAGAAAATGCAAATGAGAGAGACCAGGTTATAGCCACAGCCTCTCTTAGGCCTGTAGGGTACCCACTGAAGACTGTTGAAATATATTGCAACAATTCAAGGTTTTTCTTCCAACCATTTGAATGTTAGTATTCACCAAGGACTTATGTTCCTGAAACAAAGAGACCTCCTGGGCAGCTGTTTGTCTGGTGAGCTATTAGAACAATCTAGAGTCAAGGATGCCTGGGATCTAAACAAAGAAAGAAAGCTAAGGTTCAGGAGAAACCCTGGGGGATGAGAGTGGAGAGATGAAAACAGAAATCACAATGACAGCATCTCTAAGGTATACGTGAGGCAGTCTTCAACCCGGCAGTCTCAGCTTTCCCTGTCAGGGTACTGCATACCCCTGCCCTAGTACCTGTAGTCTCTAGGCATGTAGCTCTCAGTGTAAAACTCTTTAGATTTGCACCAGCAATAAGGGAAATATTTGTATTTGGGAGCACTCATTTTCCATGACACCTTACTCAAAATCTACATATTTGCAAACACACTGATTAGATTACTCGTGGTTTGTGTAAGTATTAATGTAAATGAAATATGTTGTTTCCATGAGAGCTAACAAAACACCGGCATCAGTTGGGAGCAGTATTTTAAAATAATTGAGTTGTACTTGTTAGATGTATGTTCTTCCCCTTTAGCTGAAACTCATTTCTAAACAAGAATTCCTTTGTCTTTTGTAGAATTTCCAAATAAGGAAATTAGAAGCTTTGTCCAAGTAGAGACTATGATCTAAATAACATAACCAGCCGTTAATTACTTACCTCGTAGTTCTAAGCCCTTGAACTAACTGCTCCTGTGGCTTTGCTATTATTAAAGATTCTAGTCTGTATCTCTCATTCATTTAAAATCCTGTTTGGGAAAAACAGAAGACAAAAAAAAAATGTCCTTTATAAATGACCTGGGTAGAATAGGGCAAGAGAGAATAGGAAGAGGAACAGTGACTTGTGATGCTTAGCTGGCCAAAATGCTTTGTCAGACAACATTGCCTCTAAAGAGTTAGCTAAAACTGAGTCCGCCACAGGGACTGCACGCCTGATAGTCAAGTCCTGTGAGACTGAAATTCCCCAGCAGTTTTGTTTTGTTTTTTTGTTTGTTTGTTTGTTTGTTTTTTTCTGAATGAACAGTCCCCTTCAACTGGTTTTAGTGTTTGGATGAGAAGTCAGCCATCTGACTTCTGAGAAGCTGGCTTCCAACGACATAGACAACTATTATATCCACAGAATTTACTAATCCAACTTCTAGTCTCATATTTTAGTATCATCTTAGCAGCAGGATGTTATGTATGGGAAGCACATTTTGAAGGAAAAGAAAGAGTTGGGCATTGAAGGAGACAGCTTTCGGGAGAGCAGCTTTCCGGGATTCATTGAGTACCATTGAACATGAGATGAGGATGTGGAGTATTTCCTGAGAAACATGGAGGCCCTGAAGACCCCCCTCTTGATCCTTCATGCTACCCAAGAGTTTGATCGGTGTAGTTTAAGATGTGTACTCCCCATCTTGCAGGGGTTGGGGAAGCCTTCCTACCTGCAACTTTGACACTTGGTATAACCATTTCTCTCTTTTATGTTATATTTGGAGACATAATTTGGCTCATGTTGAATCTGGGTCTGTACAATACAGAGAGATTTGTTATAATAGAGCCAACAGATATAAAAATGTCAGAATGACATGGCAAGCTCTCTGAAGCTGTCTCTCGGGTCAGTAAACAAAATAGGTTTAAACTACAATAGCAGGTGTCTCATTTATAGGAAATTCCAACTGCATGATTTTTGAAGGGCTAAAGAAAGTTGAGGAAGAAAAACTGCCCCCACTCAATCCTTAGAAGCTGAAGTAGAATTAAATGTAAAAATACAGACAAATAGCTTTCTGGTCTCCCAGGATCTGCTCCCACTTTTAATGATGCTTCAGTGGGCGTTGGAAGCATAGTGAGGTAGGGGAGGGAGGGAGTGGTTGGGGAGAATTAGGGTCAGAACACAGCAAGCATTAGGCAGCTTCAGGAAGACAGCTGGAACAGATAGGCCAGACACTGCACCCAAATCTCTCTCTGGAGTTCAAGTGTCCTGATGGCATGAGACACCTCCCATTCCTGTGATGATAAGCTCCACAGATCACACTGAAGACTCTTTTTTAGCATTTCAGAACATGTAATAGGTTCAAATTCACAGAGCCTTTGAAGGAAACCTTATTTCTTACAAATAACAAATCATCTACATAATCAGCCATGTTCCATAATCCTAGGCTTTGTAATAAGGCCTTCTAAAAATTAATCAACTATTAAAACAGAGGAAAACATTCCTGATTTAAAGTATGTATGACTTGGAACTAAGTAGGCTTTTAAATGATTGCTCTCCAAACAAAGGAAAGCATGAGGAATGATCTCCAGTGTCCGACCAAATTTACACATGCAATTAAGAACAAAAACAAAGGACCCAGCATGTTCTGCATGAAATACAACCATAGGGGCATTATAAACATGCATGGTTTATAAAATGCAGACACATAAATGTTTTCATTTCATGTGGACCCTTCAGGAACCTTGCAACAAGTAAGACCAAAATCCATTTCCACCTTTTCTTCAGTCATGCAACCAGCTGGATTTGCATACAGTTGGTTATCCTCCATACTGTAGTATAATATAGTATGCATGTATGTGTTGGTCAGATGAGGGGCTACAAAAAAGCATAGAAAGATTTTTTCCTCCTTTAAGTGATTTTCAGTGTTAGAACATTTTAAAATTAGGAGTTAGTGATATAAAGATAAATAATACGCAATCACCACCACCTTCAAATTGCTCCCCAGAATATGGTATCAGTGAAGAAGCAGAAACTGGAAAAGTAGAGCATCTTGAGTGTGAATCTCCATGACCCAATTCCCAGCCAATCAGGAACTCAGGCTTCTTCTTCCAGGCTCCTTTGATCCCAATGGCTTCTAACTTCTCTGAGTTAGAATAACACACACAAGAATGCCAGGGGATAAAGCCGGGTATCACCAAAGAACTGTTTCCCAGAATTAGAGAGTAGGAGTATACTTTACCCTTCAGTGGCCATTGACACGTCAGGTACTCCCAGTGACTGTGAGAGGGATATCATACATTGCTCTGTTGATAATCCTAAAATTCTTGTGTGGCTGTTGCCTGCAGTGCTGAACAGTAAAGGAGAAAGCT